TGCAACTATTTAAAAAAAAAAAAAAGGCCAAACCAACACCTTTTATATGATAACATTACTCTTACAGAGGAGTGATTCTGAAAAATTGCAATGATTGTCCCTGTAGTACCAATTCCCTCAACAAACTATGAGAAAAATTCTATTTTCATTAGAAAAGCAGAAAAGTGTATAAATGGACCTTTGTCATTCTGTCTGTCTAGGTTAGGCTGAGAAGGAAAAATAAAATCCAAATTTATCTCTCAGGTTTTATATGTACACATAATTGTTGAAAATGTCGTAGATTATGTTGCTTTTTGCAAATATAAAATTTGTTGAATAGTAGGAAGTTAATACTTACATTCACTGTATCATGACCACAATCATCTTCTGTAAATACTCTGCAAAATGAGACCTTCTGAGTCATAGATATTGTTCTCACTATCAACTTTCCTGGCAATAGGCATCTGTGTTTGCATTAAATCCAAGATGCTGCGGGAACTGTATTAATCTTGGCATTTATTTTGGCTCTCTGAATAGATATCTAATGATAAATATTGTCCGCAGGGGATCAGGGAATTTTCTTCTTTTTTTTCTTAAAGTCAATAGTTTACTACTTCCATCATTGCAGACCTACCTTAGGAGTCTGTAAGATCAAATGATAATAACCAAGGCTGGGAAAAAGAAGGAGAGGAAAAAGAAAAAACATAATCATCCATCTGTCAAGCTTTAGAATTGACTGAGGATGATAGAATGGAAATAACTGAAGAAAAGTTTCTACTATAAGTATTTCTGGTGAAGTCCTGTTTTGCTTAGCCCTGATTATTTGAAACTAAAATTCAAGAGATACAGACTGACCCCAAATTAACGATTAATATTTCCTTTATAGGTGGCTGCTATGATTATTGCAAAAGAGTTCCTGAAACTTTTGCAAAGAACCCTAATAGTATCCCTTCCAAAATCCATGACTTACTTTCTTCAAAGCTTCGGGTAACTCACTCGTTCCAAGACTGTAAAATAGCAGTCACAGAAATAGACCTTTTCTAGGAGAACATAGAAAGATAAGATGAAAAGGCACATCTGACAATGGACTCACTCTAATGTTCACTTCCAAAGAGGTGTGTTTTCTTACCACATGTCACTAGCACATTGCAAAATCATCTGTTTGCCTTTCCAGTGAGTCTCACTTTTATGAAGTGCTAAGGTTTAAATTAATTTTATTATGCCTCAGCATAGTCTCAGCATCCCTGTTTAACTAGCAAACCTTTTTTAAAAAGATAAACAATAAATCTAACCTCCATAGATAAAGACCTCTATTTTTGTTTTAAAAAAATCCAAGTCCTACATTTTATCTTATGAGATTTTCTCCATAGGCCATGTGTTTCTTAAATTAAAAAAAGACTACATTTGCACTACTGACCATAATACTAATTTGTGGAAGTACGTGGATGAGTTGCAGGGACAGATAGTTCATATTTTACTTTTGGTGCCTTGCTTGACACCATTTAAATACTTTCATAATATTCATAATACAGGCCCAAGTCTCAAAACTCTGGTCATCCTATGAAGGATAGATTGTGGAGACCAGATTCCTAGAAAAATTTCTGCCAAATAGAAATGGTATGTCATGGCCACTCATTTATGAGTGGATATCCAGAAACCTTATAAAAGAAGGACTAGGTAGAAGGAAGAAAAAAAAAAAAAAAAAAAAAAAAAAAAAAAAAAAAAAAAAAGGGGGAAAAGGGCCCATTTTACTGGGACCATAATACTAATTTGTGGAAGTACGTGGATGAGTTGCAGGGACAGATAGTTCATATTTTACTTTTGGTGCCTTGCTTGACACCATTTAAATACTTTCATAATATTCATAATACAGGCCCAAGTCTCAAAACTCTGGTCATCCTATGAAGGATAGATTGTGGAGACCAGATTCCTAGAAAAATTTCTGCCAAATAGAAATGGTATGTCATGGCCACTCATTTATGAGTGGATATCCAGAAACCTTATAAAAGAAGGACTAGAAAGGGAAAAAAAAAAAAAAAAAAAAAAAAAAAAAAAAAAAAAAGAAAGAGTAAAAGAGTGCTAAGAGTCCATATGTACTGGCTGTACATACAATCACATTCACTCAGAACTCCACTATAACCATCTTCCAGAATAATGAAGTGGTAGCAATGCATGGCAACCAGCAACAAAAGGTGGAAACAATAATTAGGCATGCTGACACATTACAGCAACTGGAAATGACAGCCCAATAGTTTTGGTAGCTTTTGCATTTGGCAGGAGATTTTTCTGTAATATATCAGTTAAACTAACATTCATGTCAGCTTCAACTGCTTTGGGTTCTGCTATGGAATATATTGAATTTAAAATAAAAATTTATTTTCCTAGAATTTCCCAGTTGTGGGAGATTTTACTTGCCTCTTTCTTGATCTGGACTAAAAGTTACAGGGATGTTACTATTTTGCTACAAGTTAAAAATGTGCATACTTAGGCCTTTCCTCAAAGGTGCACTGTCCTAACTTTCAGAAATCAATTAGACATTCATGTATGTGTTGGAACACACAAAAATTCTAGGAAAAAGTCAAACATTTGAACATAGCATATTGTTATACTTCAAGAAACTATTTCCATATCATCATCTTTCTAAACTGATAGTTATTTTAGCCTTTGTTTCTGGCCTCTTCCACCATATTTTCTGCATAGTTTGGTGTCACATGACTTTGAGTCATACCTGAGTATGTCTCATATACGTATCGTGTATCTTGCACAGCTTTTGCTTCCAATACAGCCTTGTAAAGTTTCTTCAAAGAATGATTTATGCAAGGTATAAAAAGTGCTACATTCACATGTGAAAATTATACGACAATATTGTTCTCCCAGGAGCCATAAACAGATCAGAGTCCAGTTTGTGCTATGAAAAAAGAAATATGAACCTCACTGGGACTTTTAATCACAATATGCCGGCTCTGAATTGAAGATCCATTTTGTATCACATCCCACTGGACTAACAAAAATCTGCTTGTTTACAGAAGTTAATTTAAAACTTTTAGCCGAAAAAAAGGATACTGAAGGTGTTGCCCAGCTTTCAATCAAACTTGGTCTTATTCCAGATAAAAGCCAATGTGCATCGTGGTACTGTGTTTTCAAATCAATTGTTCAAAACCATAATTACTATTAAATATTTTTTTCTGTGTTCCAAGATTGTTAGGAAATACCCTTACAGAACTGGGAAGAATTTTATTCTGTACAGTCTTCTGTGGATGTAGAGAAAAGTGTAAATTAAATTATCATGTGGTCTTACTTTTCTGTCAATGGCTTCAGCCTCAGATCTGGACTGGTAAATTCACTTAATTGCAAGAGAAAAGCAGTGAAGCCACTAGAAACTTAATTCTTCAGCACTGATTTTATTTAAACATAACACTATCCAAAAAAATCTGACAAAATACCATTCACAATGTCACTCCATTTAACAAAGACAAGCTGTTGAGATGTTTCCAATGGAAAAAAAAAATGAGATGGCATAAAACATAGTAAAGAACCTCTAACCTCTCTGTATAATTTTTGGACTTTTGGATAATGCTTGAATAAAAAAGTTCTGGAGTTAAATTATAGTTAAATAAGGACTTTTGTTGACTATAGACAACAGGATAATCAGCTAGGAGGCAATGCTATAGATTTCTTGGTTATCTCCATTTTTTGGATTATGATAATTGGACAAATTTTCTATACTTGATAGAGCACGGCAGATGATTTCTGACTCACACTAGGATTGCATACATTAGAGTGACAACCATAGTGGATTGGAAATATGGAATGGAGGGGAAGAGTTTACCTCTAAGACAGATATTGGTCATTTTTCTGAATGACTTTAATGGTAATGGTAATGTAATAGGAATGATTTTAATTTAAATCATGCTTGTCGCTGAAGAAATGCTTCAGAAATAATTCCATGCAGAAAGGGAATGTTCCCAGTCTGTGTTACAACCACATCCACCTTACCATATTTTATGCTGAAATATGCATGTTAGTTAGTATTTGCTAAACTCTAATTGGTACTTGTCCTGATTGGTCATTGTTCAAAAACTGATATGTTAGATGTATATATTCAGAGAGATATATATATGCAGTGAGGAAATCACTGGTCCATGCTCTCATGTCAGACAACTGAGATCTGCAGTTTTCACTGCTGTAATCACAGCTCTGCGAGACTGAATTTATTTGAATGCACAGGTCATCACTTGCCCTGGCTTTCCTTTGTTGCCAGAAACTTAAAACCTGTATTATACAAATCAATGGCAAGCAAAGGACGTTAATTTCAATTTCTAATATTGTCATTTTTCTGTTATGCTACTTCTTAGACTCTCTTTAGATTCTTTCTTATATAAAATGATAAAAAATAATTTTTTGCAACCTTATTATCTGAGAAAACTTACCAGAATTCAGAGGATAAAAGAGCAGCAAAATCTTAGAGATCTTAAAAAGATCTTAAAAACTATAGATACTTAAAACCAAAGATTTTAAGAACTATATAGTACTGTACAAATCAAAGCTAACAATCCATCTAATAATGGCACAATGATACATTCAAGAGGCATTAACTGTAGTAAAGTAAGAATAGTCAAAAGTGAGAACACTCAAAATTTAAAGTTTCATACTTACACTTAAACATATATTTTAATGCTTTAAAGTCAGGGTGGATTTTATTTTTAGAATTTTTTTTAGCAATTGTGCGGCAGAATTTTGGAAAGAATTACTTACTCTACTGTTATATTCATCACTTGCTTAATATGTCTAAGTATTGTGAAGCTATTATGATATGACAGTCTAGTAATATTCAAAATCATTACCTACCCCTGTTTATACAGTTTCTAAATTTGTACTGTCTTCATGAGATCAAGTGTAGCTAACGACTAATTTCTGCCTTCATGATAAACTGTCTCTGAGGTCAAGGGTCTTCAACAGAAGATTTAAAATCAACATTATATAATAGCTGCTGATATTAACTTAAAAAAATAATTATATACTACTTGAAGTACTCCTGATAGCATTATGAATAATACAAAGTTGATGTAAGCAACTAAAATGAAATAAAACAACTTAATTAGGATTCTAAAATTCTAAACAAATTTGAATACCTATCTCTCTATCACAGAAACTACTGCCAAAACAAAATGGTAAACAGTCTACATATTAACTATTGTGAACAATTGTGTCAGGTCTACCATGCAAAACAAAACAGGGTATAGTAAGTTCTTGTACCATGCTCATTTTGATTTTAAAATGCAACTTAGAAAAACTTCTATGCTAAAGTAGAAACTAAAATTTCTAGACTTGTTACATTTTAACTGATGCTTTATTTTGTGTGTCAGATATTACTCATAAGGACACTTCAAAGGCACAGCAATAAATTTTACCATATTCTGAGCTTTTAGAAAGAGAATTTAGGCTTATATTCTGAGCTTCTCTCTATGACATTATTTCATGTTTATATGCTGCTATTCTGTTTTTGGAGGACTATGAACAATTTAAGAACAGATGTAAGAAATACGGGATAGTATATGCATACATGCCTCTTACAAATATCCTGGTCATAAATGAACTTCAGAGAATGGGGACATCCCATCGTATTACAACATAGTTCAAAAACTTTTTTTTAATGGGATCATATTGAACATAACTTCACTTGCTGTCTTTCCATTAACTGTAAAATTTAACCTCAGCTTATGTATTCACAGTAACTTCACTAAGCTTATCTTTTGCTTTTCTCCTGCTGCCATGTGCTCAATATAATCAGTCCCGCTGCCAGAAAGCACATGCTTTTTTCAGAGATAGCAATATGAGAGTCAAGTAGACTAGGATGCTTTTAAAAATTTGCAAATAAGCCAAACAGCGATGAGATAATTACATTTCATTAAAGTGATTTTTATTCCTAAATGTGCTATTCTTTCCTCCAATCACTAACAGTATTATTGCAAATGATCTGACCATATAGGCAGGACAAAACATACCATAAGTCATAATGTCTATCTGTCAAAATATAAGATGTGTGCATTTTTTTAATTAGAGAGATTGGATTAAGAACAAAAGTTTTGTGCGAAGATTGTGTTCTGAAAATGCACTGGGGTTACCCTAAGGGTTGTATCTGAAAACATCATGTATTTAAAATGCATAAAGTCTGTCAAGGGCTGACTAGAAACCAATCAACTGAAAAGAAACAAACATAAACCTGGTAAAAGCATTCAATATTATCACTAGATTAGTTCTCTAATTTCCCAAGGCAAACAGGACTATGACTTCCACCGAGCAATATCTGTTGTTGTCAGTGCTGCCCTTCCTCCTTTCCTGATTTTTAAATTCATCCCACTTATTCTTTTAGATTTATCAAATGAAAATGTGACAAGGAGGCTATTTGCTCTTAAAAATAATTTATCTGGGGAAATGAGGGAACAGTAATGTTCCTACCTGCTCCTTTTCACTGCAGCATGCTTACAACTTAATCTCAGTCCAAATGGATGTTCCAGTATCAAAAAAAGTTAGTATTTATTAAGTAATTGTAACTTTGCTAATTTTAAATTCTTAAAGTTCATCTTTGTTTCTCAAAACTTACATTGACAGAAATATTTTTTTTTACTAAGCACTGCATTTACATCGACTGCTCTCCAAGGATTTCAGGAAATCTGTTGGAGCCTGAAAGAACTCAAAATCTGTATACAATCTATTCTTATTTTAAATTGTATTTTTGGGGGGGTTGGGTAGTAAATCAGCCTGAATGCAGAATAAAGCTCTTACAGAATTTGAAGTTTAGGGGATAGATGACTAATGTGGAGGACCCGTCACTGGTAGAGAAATATAGATCAGTCAGTAACCAAAGAGAAAACGAAGCAGCACATACATCAGTTCAATTGAAAGTACAGTCTACCTCTAGGAATAAAGAATGCAAACCTTGCTCACAGCCTTGAGGACTCTTATAATGGAAAACAACAATTCTGAAAAAGATCTGAAAACAAGAGAATAGTGGACAGGGGAAAGTGGTAAAGAATCGGTTATGCCTGGAGGTTTTATTGTGACACAGACAAAGGAGTTAACAAAATCCTATCAAGGCATTTAAAGAAATGGGGAGGTTATGCTTCCTCTGTGTTTTGCTCAAGTATAGCTGTCACTGAAATTCTGCACCTACAGTACAAGAAAGATGTTGTAAAAGATGGACAAAGTCAGGAACACCAAGTCATCTGCAAAATCCTTAGGTTTAGTCATATGCTAAGCAGTATTGAAAAGTCTGTTCATTTCTTTATGAATTTAATTAAACAGTGACTATGAATATGTGAAAAAAAACCAAACAAACATGGAAAACTTGCTTTCTAGTGTTTCCTGTAGCTTTTAGAAATAAACTGGAATTCTCTCACGGAAAAACATGGTAACCTAGATGTAGTGTCAGCAGCATTTCAAATATAAATGAAGTACAAATATCCATTAAAAACCATTAGCTTTCAGTTTAATAACAAATATTTATTTATTAATATGAAATATTCAACATATTCCATGGACCTGCCTCTTTCATAGATTTTGGGGATTCAGAAGAAACAAAAAAGACAGAATAAATGTACTCCTTTTTATATGATTCACTTTTATACTAAAATGATTATCAGGATGATACCTTTATTCCTCTTTCTTAAAGTTTACAGTAGACCATCATAAAGTCCCTTTTTTATTAGTCTCGTCCATCATAAAAGAAACTACAGTAGTAATTTTCACAGATCCACAGTGTTTTGACATAGAAACCTCAGTAATATAACAAGCTCTTGGCTATACACTAAACACTACCTGTATTTGATATTTACTGATTAATAATGTAGGATTTTCAAACTATCAAAGTTGCTATGGTCCAAAAGCAAGATTTCCTCTAGCAAAAACATCAAGTCACCAGAATTAACCATTGGATTGCTTTTCTATTATTATTTTTAAAACAAAATATGTTCTGCTTGGGTCATTAAATTTCTTTCCTTTTTAAAACAAACAAAAAAATGAACACAAAGATAAGTTTATCTGCCTAATTTCATTGATTTGATATTGTGGCAAAGACTTTGTATTATTCAAACTTACAAAATCACTCCTGTTGTCATCTTCCAGAGCATTCAGACACAAAAGCACTCTCACATGGCTTCCCTTGCTTACGGCAGGGTTGGAGAAGGGTTTTGAGAACCATCAGTCTTGTGTAACAGGAGCCATTGCTGAAGGCATTACAGTTACAAAAGAGGTAATGACATAGGGTAGTGATAGTAAATTTAGAAAGTACCAGAGGAGGCTTTATTTGAGGCAGCTAAGTGTTGCAGCAATATCACAAGGTACCTTTCTAGGTGCATGAGTTGCTCTGCATCTCTAAATCCTGTTAACACTCAGTAGTAATATAAGCACTAACAAAAGACTCAAAAGAAAAGATGTCAGTCATCATAAATGAGATTGGTGTGTCTTCCAAAAATCAAAACAATACATAAATAATACATCCTATAGGTCCAGTATGCTAGAGTACCCACTTAAGTACATAGTTTTGATGATATTCTGAAATCACCAAGATAAATAACAAAATCATTAAAACTAATCACAATCAGTATCTTCAGTCTACTCCTAAAATCTTCTCCCAAATAACAAGTGATAGGACAAGAGGAAATGGGTTCAAGTTGTGCCAGGGGAGACTTAGATTAGATATTAGGAAAAATTTCTTCACGGGGAGAGTGGTTAGGCATTGGAACAGACTGCCCAGGGAAGCGGTACAATCACAGTCCCTGGAAGTGTTCACAAAATGTGTGGATGTGATGCTTATGGACAGGGTTTAGAGGTGGACCAGGCAGTTAGGATAACAGGTTGGGCTCAATGAGGAAGTGTTCAAAATGTGTGGATGTGATGCTTATGGACAGGGTTTAGAGGTGGACCAGGCAGTTAGGATAACAGGTTGGGCTCAATGATCTCAGAGGTCCTTTCCAACCTTAACGATTCTATGATTCTTTTTTTCTGTATCGATCACAAATGTAATGTTTGCAACCAATATGAGTCTAACTCTGAGCTCTTGAGAGAAAGCCCGGCTAAAACTAAGGCCCCACTGCATCAGACAATGTGCAATTACAGACAAACACTCCTTGTCCTGAAGCCTTTATAATCTAATAGAAAACACAACAGTACTTTGTGTTATCGGAACAGTTCCTGAGATCTACTCTACTCTTATACAAGAGCTACCAAATACTCATTCATTCAGAACAGATTTTAATGTGTGCTAAGGATTCTGGTAGATTACTTAAAGACAAAAATGAATGGTTTAGCTGAATTTAGAAAGAATCTTGCTCTCTGGAAAGTTAGGTCTACTAAATCAGATTGCTCTTTTATTTTTTTTTATTTTTATTTTTTTTAAGTTTATTCCAAAAATGATTTTGCATTTTAAGGCACAAGTAAAAGTCTCTCATGCTGTTTTCAGCCTCAAACACATTTATAACAAAATATTTGTTTTGTCTTAAATGCATCAATTTACTAAAATATCAGTGCTAAAAACATCACATAAACAGTTATCAGAAAACTATCCCATTAAACCCAATGACTTACATACAATGTACAGAGCATATTTTTTCCATTTCAGCTATTAAAAACAACTGTTCAAGGAAAAATGTCTTGTGCAAACTATTTGACATAGGTTTCATGTTTATTGAAAAAGTACAGAAAGAAAATTTTTGTGATCAGAATTTTTAGTTCATCTTACAGTTTCCAGAAATAAACTGTGATCTAATGGCTCCACAAAGCTGGACAAATGGAACCATATTTGGTTTTCATTCAAGACATTTGTAAGGACTGAACCATGGGACACAGCATGAGCTTCATAATGAGCACTAAATAGCCTGATATTTTAGCAAAAAAGCAGTAGGTATCATTAATATGGTCTTAGAGTCTAGCCACTAAGAGGAAACAGAGAACCACTTCGTCTTGCTATGGAAGGCAATAGAACATAGTTATCTGCTGCCAACAAATAATGAAAAATAAATAAATAAAACACATCAC